AGTCATGTTTAAATGGATTTTGTCAATATGAGAACTGACAAAATCAAAAGGCCAGATGCACAAGACACATCAAAAATAGGGAAGGTGAGAAGTGTGCAAAAGCCCATATGACGCTCCATCAAATCCCTTATCCCAATCCATTACTCCTTTGGTATTTCAATTTTAAACCTCCCAAGCCTGTCTCTTTACACATGCCTACCCTTTCTTGGGCCAATGTCCTTAACCTTGCCTTGCAGACCAACTGGCATGCCACTCTTGCAACAGAAGGTCTTCTTAAGTGGAAAATGTTGTGTTTCTTTCATAACTCTCTTTACTTTTAAGGGTTGAGATAATTCTAAAATACTTGAAATAAGTTTCCCACTTTTGGCCCTATGAGGTTGACCACAATTTGTTTTGAAACCTATTGGGTAACCAATGCAAAATAAATTCCTAAGCAGAAGGCATTATCTAATTAACAGAGGACATTATCCAAATCACAAACTCACTTTCAGTACCTAATGTGCCCCACACCAGATGGGACCTCAGCAGATGCTAAGGATACCCAAGTCTCTGAGTCCACAAACTCAGAAAAACATGGAGATTAAATCATCTGTGGATGTGGGTATGATGGTTGGATGCAGCAGACACCAAAATGCAGCTCCCCTTGGTTGTGTTGGGAGGTTTCCACTATGTTTATTTCTTAAAACAAAGAGTTCTAAATCTTTGACTTCTGGCTCACTTTGCTCAATCATTGGAAGGAGACTGGTCCCCTATATACTTCTTCTGTGAAGACCTTAATCACGTCAGGACTGCCCCTTAAAATTAAGCAGGAGCTGTTCATTCGTACAGCTGCCGCAGAGAAGTTCCCTGCGACACTAAAGACAGGTAAATAAAGAAATTGCACTCACTCCAAGGAAGGGGGAGGGGTCTTCTGCCAGTAAAGAGTTTACATAATGCAACAGAAAACCAGTGAGCTCCGCAGACCTGTCAAGGGAGATGCAAGGCTTCATGAAGCTCCTGTCTTTCCACCATCTCTAGATACTCTCCAACAGTCTGCTCTTCACTCCCAGAAGACCCACAGAAATTACACCTAAGAATAAATAACAATTTGCATATGCACACCCCATGCTTTCTTACCCACCTTCATTACTGAAATGCAAAAAGGAAAAAGAAAAAAAGAAGAAAAATCCCTAACCTCCCACTTCTGAGTCCAAAGTATGGCACAACCAAATGGAGCCGGGGAGTTTTCCCTCTTCTGAAGGGGGAAGGAGAACAAGGCGCTGCCTCAAATCTACACTACGCCCAGCAATGCAATGACACGCTCTAAGAACTGCACAGCAACCCCAGGCAGCTCTCTTGCGGCTTGGCTTAACTCGGACCCCGCTGCCCGGCAGCCGCCCTCTCCCCCGGCCTCTCACAAAGGAGAATGGTTCAGTCCAGAGCATCACCCAACACCTGATCCCTCACAACTGGGGAACAGGAAAGGGGGTGGAAGAGAGGGGAGGAGGATGAATTACTGAAATCAATTCTAAGAGCCTTAGCTTTTGCGAAGGCTACTGGATCAGCACTGAGAAGCAGGCGTGAGCGGGAAGTCTACCTGAACAAGTCCCGGTGCTTCCTCTCCAGTCAGCGTTTCAACTCACCCTCTCGGAGAACAAGGCGCCTTCCGGCGGAGCATGGCCAGCCCTCGCCTCAATCTAGCTTGCTAGTAGTCCATTCTCCCTAGGCTCCGCCCCCTGCTCCCTCATCCACCAATGACAGGGCCGAAGCCGGGCCTCTTCCAGCGGGGTAGTGTGAGCGCCATCCAGGAAGTCTCTTAAGGGTGGGAGGCCCTAAAAGGCTGGGAAGGGTACGTAGACAACCACAGATATGCCTGATTGAAAATAAAATCTGGCGGCAGTTCGCCTCTGACGGCTCAGTTCACCGGCGGCCAGGCCCCTCAGCATCTTTTTTTGGCCCCTGCTGTTGGGGGCGCTCTGAACTACAGCAACTCCTAGTTACCTGCTTCTGGGAAGCCATCTTGAATCGGGCGGGTGCCTTGGGGACGGGGACGGGGTAGGTGTGCTTAAGAATCTGAAGCCCTTTTCGGCGTTCTGTCCGACTGTTTAGCTCTAGCCCCAACATCTCTCCTATATATATATATATATAGTCAGGATGTCCCTCAGTCACGATGAGAAACTTCAGAATAATATATGTGGTTAGAGGCAGCCACCACCCTCTCACTTAACTAGGAATGAAGCAATTTTAACAAATCAAAGAAACAAAAATTAATTCTTCCAACGAGAGTGAATGTTACAGGCTCCTAGGGTAGTCCGTTATAGACACCTCACTCCTCAGAATATCAGAATATGACCGACCTAAGTTATTTATCTATTCTAGATGCTTCTAATCTTTACACTTCACTTGGAAATTTACCAGTGTTCTGACTTTGGCGGTACAGAGCACTGTCAGTTGGAAAGAAAGAACAGGATTTAGGGAAGAATTCCAACTTTTTAAAAATTTTATAAAAGGCCTAAAATTAATCAGTAGATCCAGATTACTCGTGAATACAGGTAATGCAAACGATACAGGCCTTAAGAGAAATTATATGTAAGGAGAAGCAAGACCATTAGAGGGCAGCCTTAGAAACATTGGCTGGAAAGAATAATTTCTAACAACTGCATTTAAATTGGAAAAGAAATAATTTTATTGTAGGTGAAATTCTTGTACTCAATGAGAAAGGTTTTCCTGTATTTCCTAGTCTAAATTTCTACTGCTATTACAATTTACTACAAGAAATCTTTTTAAACTCGTGAATGAAGGGAGTCTTTCCAGCTCATTAAAGGAATTTCTCAAGGAGTAACATAATTGTATGGTCTTATGTGGCAGGAGCTCAGAGATATTAAGGAGTCATGAATCAATATTTTATCAGAGAGGTGATGAGACTTGGCCAAATACATTTCCCTATATATTGAACAAACTCTGTTAGTCAAATTCTCGCTGGCTACTGCTGCCATGGTATCAAATTTGAAGTTAGTATTTATCAGAACAATGTGTTTGTCTATGAATGCATATACAGATAGTATCTCAATTTTTAAGAGTTCCTAGAAAGCCTATTATCCTACCAGTTATCATCTGGTTTGGAATAGACCTGTCATGAAAGGAACTAGTTAACAGCATTATGGAAAGGGGAAAGGATGTGCCTGATCCAATAATTTCTGCTACCTACACTTATCTTTAGTATGATTTCCAATGGTCTTGGCCTTAAAATCAATCAACACCTAGATTATCTCATAACTACTGTTCTTCATATGGGGTATGAGATCTTTTTTCTGTAATTCTTCATGACTGCTTCACTCAGAACATCAGCACTTCACTCAGAACACAGGTTATGAATTTGCCCAGATACTTTTGTTTCTCATGCTTCCCTTAAAATTGGTGAAATACCTAAGTACAAAATGTTATAAGTTGGTTTGGATAATAGAATTGGATGTGAGAGTTAAGATTTTAAAAATATGCTCCAAAATATCAAAATGGTATCTTTTAATGACTCTGAAAGCAGCAACTCTAGGCAGAATGCTGTCTTTGACTAATGTTCTAATGCTAAAGATTCTTTTAGACAGTAAAGAAAAATGTCCATACAGAAACTACAAAGTTATAAGTAGTTTTGTCCCTTGGGTAAAGAAGCAGGCTAACTCCAAATTCAGCAGCCTCAAATCCTTTTTGGAATGAGGTAGGATTTTAAAAAAAACAAAAGCATAATCAAAGCAATACCCCAAATGTCTTCCTACTTCCTATGGTGCAGTGTTAACAATTAATACTACTACTAGGATCAAAATCTAGTATAAAACAAATCCCAAAAAGGAGGCTTCTTCCATATCTTTGATACAATCCCCTAGGAGGAGAGTAGCTACTAATGTTTGGGATACAATCAGAAATGACACATGGAGTATGAACAGCTTGGATACATGCATATATTTAATAATGAAACAACAACAAAAAAATTAGAAAAATTCATGAGACCTCAGTGCTGTGGAAGAAAATAGGACATCAAGAAAAAAAGATATAGCAACTGACCCAGAAGCCTGCATGATGAGTGAAGCAAAGGCAAATTTGGCTAGGATAGTATTATATGCTCTGAAAAGGAGAATGCCTAGAGAAGTACCCACTTACTTGGCTGCTGGGTAACAAGGAGCCTTACTTTATGCTGCACGGAATGGAGGCAAAGAGCCAGGGAATGATAGGAAAAGAGAGGGAAAAGAATAATATAGTACCCAGGGCAAGTAGATGGAAGAGCTAGGTAGAATTACAAAGAGATGACTCCAAGGTCTTTTGTTTCCTCTAAAGCCTAAAATAAATCTTAAGTTTTAAGTATGTCAGTCAAATTCGATGATCACAAAATGAGTAGCACTAGGCACTGTGAAGGACTGGTCGGGGGAATGGTTTATAAAAATAAAAGGAGGACATGGATCCTGCTCTTAAGGAGCTTACAACGTATATGGAGAGACAGATTCCACACATAAAACAACTAAAAAAGTATTTACAAAGTTACATATAAATAAATATACATATAAATATACATATGAATAACATGAAAGCTAAGGGGTACTGTATCAATAATTACTTAGAGTCCTTAGGTCAGTCACTGAAGGCTTTCTAAAGAAAATTTTTTTTGGACTTTTAAATATAATGTTAGTGAAGAGTAGGGCATGTGCAAAGATATGGAAGTAGGAATAAATATATCATGTTCAGTAAGCAGATTAGCTTGATTAGAGTACAAAGTCTAAGTAGGTCTAGTTAAGAAGTAAGTATGATGAAACAGTGGAAGTCTGTCTGGTGAAAGACTACAATATTAGATTTGGTCCCTAAAATAAAATGAACACAGAACAGAGTTTTCTTTAGGTAATTAAGTGGCTATAGGTCCAGGACCAACTCCACTGCTCTCAAAACTTTTGTAGTTACTCTAAGAGATAGAAACTAGCAATGAGATAGTACTCTGCATCCTTAAGCAAGTAGAAGGAACTGCCTTTTGCAAAAATTCTTATGAAGTAGCAAGTAGACCCCCAAAGGCAAGAAAAAAATTCAATGAAATTCCTTGGCAGAGGATCCATCATCTAAAGGCCAGCCAGATCACAGTAATCTCAAGTGTTCAAGCAGAATATCCTTGATCCTAATTCTTGGTGGGGAGAGATTGTATATGCTTATGAAATTATTTATTCTTTAACTACTGTGACAATAAACTTTGATCCTAACATTTTAGAAATTAAAATAACAGGGTGAGAAGAGCCCTAATCTATAGGGAATGTTCACGTCCCTGAAGAAGGACAGGTCAGCAAGGGCCCAAATTCTCCCATGGTCTTTAAGTGGAAAGGCAAAACATCACACCTTGAAAAGAGGCTGCTCTCAGCCAAAGCAAGTAAGACCTCTTTCATTAAGCCTATTGATCTGAAGCTGTTCCAGGAGGAAAAAAAAGAGTTCAGGCCAGATGTTCAGCAGCAGCCAGAGTTGGATCCTACGTCACGACTGTTCCGCTGCGAGGCGCTGGGTCCCACTGATGTAGAAATTGACTGTTGGGGCCCAATCTTGATGCCATTTGCCTGTAAAAGAAAAGAGGCAACAGTTCCCAACTCAGTGTTAAAGTGAATGGGAGAAAGGAGAAATAATTAATTTTCTAAAAGCAGGCATGACCTTGGCAGTTAACCATGTGCTCTAGCCAGATTGTTGTGGAACAATAATCTATGACAATAAGACTAAGATGATTACCTGTGGCATAAGTATCACAGTTTACTAGAAATGTCTTTTGTGCCCACCTCCTTTTTTTTCTTTTTTTTAAAAAGAGACAAGGGCCGGGCGCGGTGGCTCACGCCAGTAATCCTAGCACTCTGGGAGGCCGAGGCGGGTGGATCGCTCAAGGTCAGGAGTTCGAGACCAGCCTTGCAAGAGCAAGACCCCGTCTCTACTAAAAATAGAAAGAAATTAATCGGACAACTAAAAACATATAGAAAAAATTAGCCAGGCATGGTGGCACATGCCTGTAGTCTCAGCTACTCGGGAGGCTGAGGCAGAAGGATTGCTTGAGCCCAGGAGTTTGAGGTTGCTGTGAGCTAGGATGATGCCACGGTACTCACTCTAGCCCAGGCAACAGAGTGAGACCCTGTCTCAAAATAAATAAATAAATAAATAAAAAGTAAAAAAGAGACAGGGTCTTCCCATGTTACCCAGGCTGGAGTACAGTGGCTTTTCACAGGCATGATCATTGTGTACTATATACCCTCGAATTCCTGGCTTTACACAACCCTTCCACCTCAGCCTCTCACGTAGGCTGGGACTATAGGCATGAGCCACTGTACCCCATGCCATTTTTTTTTTTTTTTTTTTTTTGAGAGTCTTGCTCTGTTGTCCCAGGTACAGTGCAGTGGTGTTATCACAGCTCACTGCAACCTCAAACTCCTGGGCTCAAGCAATCCTCCTGCCTCAGCCTCCCAAGTAGCTGGGACTACATGCACGTGCGACCATGCCTCATTTTTTTCTGTTTTTAGTAGAGACAGGGTCTCACTCTTGCTCAGGCTGGTCTTGAACTCCTGACCTCAAGCGATTCTCCGATCTTGGCCTCCTAGAGTGTTAGGATTACAGATGTTGAGGCACCTTGCCTGTCCCCATTCCTATTTTTAAGATGTACTATTATACTTAAATTTCATAGCTATGTGCAGAATTAGGATGTGATTAGGTAAGAGTAAGAGGAGGCAAAGAATAGAAGTAGCATATTAGCATGTGATTCTTTTTTGTTTTGTCCCAGAATTTGCCTTATAGAAATGGCCCTTCTAAGCAATTAAGAATTATACCTCCCCTATGTTCTGGATTCATAAGAAAATGATGTTGAAAAGAAAACCTCCCATATTTTATAAGACTTTTAGATCACCAACTAATAAGCTCTTTAAGCATTCTGGGTCTCAGACTTAAGGAAAAACAGAAAATGATGGCAGGTTTCTGTGTACCTATATAAAAAAGCAAGTTTGAATTGGCAGAGCTATGAGTAGTATAATGATAGATGGGGAATATAAGCATTCCACTCTAAGGAGCTTCCAATCCTATTCATAACAAATCAAAGTTAACTGGCAGCACCCCCACCCTTTCTTACCTCATTGTGGACATCAAATAAACCCTGCTGGATCTTCCTATATATTTCTTTGGCTGTGTTAATGAAGGCCTAAAGGAGACATAAATCATATTATCAGTCTCAAGTTTAGGTAGAGAAATGAGAGAAAGAGAATATAAATATTCCTATTTGGATTTCTAAGGTGAATGAGGAACCATTAGAAGGCAGTAAAATTATAGAAGTTCCTCCAAATGTCACTGTAAAAACCATTGAGAGTAATTTCAAAAAGAAAAAAAGGGATTATGTGATATTCTGGTACTAATCCAAGATATTCCTAGGATTCCTAGGTTCACACCTTCTGCAAAGGTGCCAACATACCAAACATATTCTCTTCTCTATTAGTTACTCAAGATACCATCAATCCCGGGCTTGGGATTACTTCCGGCGGACCCCTTAGACACTCCAACTAAAAGGATTTGTAAGTAACAATGGTTCTGTTACTGTGACCAAAAGACATCCTTTCTTTACCCGTGACTTACAGGAGAAGAGAATTCTGAATAAAAGGACAAGATAATGGTGTAATCTCTGAAGAGCTCTCCCTGCTTTTTTCCAAATAGTACCTCTTCAACATTGCAGGCTGTTTTGGCTGAAGTTTCCATGAATATAAGTCCATGCTCCCGAGCAAAGGCCTCTCCTTCTTCTCTCTTCACATCCCTACGAGACTCTAGGTCACTGTAAGAGATTAATTAGGAAGAAAACTAAAAAAATAATGCAAGTGAAAGAGGAAAATCTAGTTCTTGAAGAATCCCATTGTGGTTTCAACTCCCAGTTAATTCGTAAAGAATGTAGATGCTATACTCTTGTATAGGGTTACTGATTTCTGTAGCTTCTTGGAAAATATTCTTCAGATTCGGGACAGCTGCTGCATGACTGAAGATAATACCTTACTCTATTATGGCCATGCATAGAGGCTCATGCCTGTAATCTCTGCACTTTGGGAGGCCAAGGTGGGAGGATCACTTGAGGCCAAGAGTTTGAAACTACCTGGGCAAGACAGTGAGATCCTATCTCTACAAAAAATTGAAAAAATTACCTGGTTTGGCAGTGCATCCCTATAGTCCTAGCTACTCTGGAGGCTGAGGTGGGAGGATTGCTTGAACCCAGGAGTTTGATGTTATAATAAGCTATGATCATGACACTGTACTCTAGCCTGGGCTATAGTGCAAGACCCTGTCTCAAAAAAAAAAAAAAATTATATTTACCACCTATGGCCCTTCCAGACTGTAAGCACGATGAAAGCAAGGGCATGACTTTTTTTCGTCTTACAAACTCAGAGTTTGGCACGGTGTCTAATACAAAGGTTTCCAGTAAATCAGTTGAACCAATAAATAAATACGAGTAGCCTGTGGCTGCAGTTCTCAAACAGTGCTCCCTGGGCATGACTACAAACTCACAAGGGTGTCAGGAGATACTTTAAATTTTTGAGGGAAACACAGTAACACTCCACATCATAACGTCACGTGAATTACAAATTTAAGATAGTCTGCAGTGTCAACATCAGATTGAGATGGATTCTGTTCAGTATCTTCCTACCTCTGTGAAGCTGTTTTTGGCAGCTACTGTGATAAAAAAGTACTGCACAAAATTTAATATCGAACAGGAAATGAGAGTGGTAGTGTCCAATCTTGATTCCAAAGTTTGAGAAGCTGTGCAGTGCCCAACAGACACACACAGGTCATTAGTAAGTAATTGTGGCTATTTCAGAATGCAATAAAAATATTATTTTTTCTTTTAATCTATGTTTTTCGTTTTCTAAATAGTTGTTGTTATAAAAAATACTTAAGTTGTTTGAAATTATTTAATAATAAAATTATTAGGTATTTCTTTTGGCCTATGGGTGCCAAAAAATTTACTTAGAATAGCATGCGTTGACATGTGAGGAAACCAGAACCCTTGTGCATTGCTGGTAGGAATGTAAAATGGTCCAGTTGCTATGGAAAATAGTATGCAGTTCCTCAAAAAATTAAACACAGAATTATCATATGATCTAGCAACCCACTTCTGGGTATATACTCAAAAGAATTCAAAGCAGGGACCTGGTCATAGCAGCCTTATTCACAATAGCCAAAAGGTGGCAGCAACCCAAGTGTCCCTGGATGGATGGATAAACAAAATGTGGTATAGACATACATACTCATCCTTAAAATAGAAGGAAATTCTGACACATGCTACAACATGGATAAACACTGAAGGCATTATGCTAACTGAAATAAGCCAGTCACAAAAGCATGATTCCACTTACATGTTATACCTATAGTAATCAAATTCATAGAGTAAGAAAGTAGAATGATGGTTGCAATGGGGTGGGGGGAAGATGGGGAGTTAGTGTTGAATGAGTACAGTTTATTTGAGAAGATGAAGTTCTGGAGATAAATGGTGGTGATGTTGCAGAACAATGTGAATATATTATACTTAATGCCACAGAACTGTACACTTAGAAATAGTTAAAATGGTAAATTTTATGTTATACATATTTTGCCACAATCAAAAAATTTTTTTACTGAAACACTAAGAGCACCACAAACTGAAAAAATTTGAAGACCAAGAAACTCAATGTCCACAGAGGACCTAGATGACTCCTGTTAACTATTATTCACATAGATAAAATTTTACCTCTTATTCCCAATGAGCATGATAACCATGTTGGAACTAGAGTGCTGCCGGGCATCCTCTAACCATGAGGTCAGGTGGTTGAAGGTTTCACGTCTACAGCAGAAAAATTTACAAAGTGGGTCAGGGGCCGATTTCAAAAGGCCAAAACAATGCCAAATATATGGGAAAAGAGGGAAAGCTATATGTGTAAAGAAAAATATTAGAGAGGTCATTCCTACTTAGCATTCTTAACAGAATCAGTAGATAGAAAAAAAAAAAAAAAAGCTTTAGACAATATAAGGAAGAGTCTCCCTCCCATGCACAAAGATCTGGCTCACCTTGTAATGTCGTACACCAGCAATGCTCCAGCTGCTCCCCTGTAGTAGGAACGGGTGATAGAACGGAAGGATTCTTGCCCAGCCTTTCCCACCAACATGGCAACAAAAAAATCCCAACAAAACTAGGTTATTTCCAGAGAACTGACTGTATCACATGCCATCCTAATACAAAGGACTTAACTAAAAAAAGAACTTCTATTAAGAAAAGAGAATTAGGGAAAGGAAACACACCTACCCAAGGAGAAGCCCAGGTGGGATGTCAGTATTTTTCAATAGGAATGCAACTGATATTTTGGACAGGTCACTTATTCTTCCTGTGAGATTGTCCATCAAATTACTGGATGATCAGCATCCCTGGCTCCTAGTCACCAAATGCCAGTAGCGACCCATAGTCAGCATGACAATCAAAGATATTCCCATATTTTCCCCATAACCCTATGAGAAAACAACTAGAAATGGGACTGGAAACTCAGGATATGCTGTATTTTCAATCCCAAATATGATGTTGAACACATAACATCAATCTTTCTGTTCCTGTTTCTTTATCTGTAAAAAGGAAAATTATCTTAGAATTTCAATACCCTGTATAATAGAAGATTCATTCCAATGGATCAATGTAGAAAATTAGATATCAAGCACTTAAATTGACGACATGCTAATTGACCTTTAGTGTTCCACTGACAATGGCAGTACTACCTAGATGGCCCCTGGTGGGATCCTGTCATAGAAAATAGGAATAAGGAACAAGGAAAGAAGCCCAAGGCCCAGGACAGAGTTTTCCTTAAAAAAAATCAACTGTCCATACTCTGATATCATTTTCAAATGGGCCAAGCTATTAAGAGCAATTATATTGTCTTCATATACTGGGTATTTTTGCTTTCTTGATGGAATAAGTTTTTTGGTTTTTGTCTTTTTTTTTTTGCTTTAGGGAAAGCAAAAGCATCTTTTAAATAATAACATGAATACCTTGTGCATTGAATCTATCCTATTAGGAAAGGTTTCACATTCTTTTTTTTTTTTTTTTTTTGAGACAGAGTCTCACTCTTTTGCCCGGGCTAGAGTAAGTGCCGTGGCGTCAGCCTAGTTCACAGCAACCTCAAACTCCTGGGCTAAAGCAATCCTTCTGCCTCAGCCTCCCAAGTAGCTGGGACTACAGGCATGTGCCACCATGCCCAGCTAACTTTTTCTGTATATTTTTAGTTGTCCAATTAATTTCTTTCTATTTTTGGTAGAGACGGGGTCTCGCTCTTGCTCAGGCTGGTTTCAAACTCCTGAGCTCAAACAATCCGCCCGCCTCGGCCTCCCAGAGTGCTAGGATTACAGGTGTGAGCCACCGCGCCCGGCCAGTTTTCACATTTTTGAAATCATTTATCCTCATATCCCAACATAAAAGTTGGGAAGTAAGACTACTGTTCATATTTTATAGATAGGAAAATTAAGATTGAGGACATGGGGAGACAAATGGTTTTCTCATAGTATAATACCAATAATAGTGATGATGCTAATGATAACACTGCAATAATATTTTTTGGCCTACACAATGTTTCAGGAACTATAAGAGACAATTACATGTATTATCTTATGTAATTCTCTTAGCAGCCCTGGGGGCAGATATTATTATTATTCCCTTTTAAAATGGGGAAAATGAGGCTCAAAGGGACAAGTTTAGTAACTGACGAAAAATCATAAAGCTTGTAAGTGTTGGAGCCATAATTAAAACTTAGGATCTTAGTATTTCCTAGCACAAAAATATATTCTCTTAGCCAACGGGGGCTCACTCTGTCACTCAGTCTGGAGTATATGGCGCAATCATAGCTCACTGCAGCCTTGAACTCCAGGGCTCAAGTGATCCTTCTGCCTCAGTCTCCCAAGTAGCTGGGACTACCGGTACGCATCACCACGCCCAGCTTAAGTCACAGTTTGAAAGTCAGAAGAGTTCCAGTACACTAACTCTAAGGTTACTTTTCCAACAACACAAGAATCTCTTTCTACGAAAATCATATAAACATTTTCGTGAGTTGTATAACTGTTAGAACATCAGCATCTAAAAATATATGCCAGCAAGGTGGCTCACACCTGTAATCCCTGCACTTGTCGAGACCAAAGCAGGAGGATTGCTTGAGGCCAGGAGTTTGAGACCAGCCTGAGAAACATAGCAAAAACCCATCTCTACAAAAAATATGGAAAATTATGCAGGGGTAGTGGTGTGTGCCTGTAGTCCCAGCTACTTGGAAGGCTGAGGCAGGAGGATCACTTGGGCCCAGGAGTTCAAGGCTTCAGTGAGCTATGATTGCACCACTGCACTCCAGTCTGGACAACAAAGCGAGATCCCACCTCTAAAAAATGTAATAATAAAAAAAATAAGGCTGGGCACAGTGGCTCAAGCCTGTAATCCTAACACTCTGGGAGGCCAAGGCAGAAGGATCGCTTGAAGATAGAAGGTCTAGACCAGCTTGAGCGAGACCCTGTCTCTACAAAAAATAGAAAAAATGAGCCAGGCGTAGTGGCATGCGCCTGTAATCCCAGCTACTCAGCAGGCTGAGGCAGGAGGATTGAGGATCGCTTGAGCCCAGGAGTTTGAGATTGCAGTGAGCTACGATGACACCACTGCATTCTAGCCGGGGTGACAGAATGAGATGCACCTCAAAGAAAATTAAATAAATAAATACATAAATAAATAAATAAAATAATTCTAAAGTCCTTTGTCAGTAATACTAATAACATTTTAAGGTTTTAAAAATACTGTTTCCCTCCAAGAGCTCACTTAAACTTTTGTATTTACTTCCAAATACTTCCATGTCTTACGTTATTTGGGTCCTGTTTTCCTTTTATCTCTTACTTTTTCTCCCCTTCTGCTATAACTGAAAGCACTCCTCCACTTCCCCTATGGCTTACCAGAAACTAAAAGGGAAAAGTTTGTAGAAGGCCCACATGATGGCTGAATTACATGGCAGCACTTAACTTTAGCAGGGGAAAATACTTCCAGTAAGTCATCAGAAGACGTTTTAAAATCAAATCACTCTACTTCTTCATTTCAGTCTAGTTTATGAACCAAGTGTGTGAGCTAGAAAGAGTTAGCGGTTCAACTTGGGCTGGTCTGAATCACTCCCAGGTGTCATTTTCCATACCCAGTAAAAAATCTGAAGCAGCAAAAAACTAAGATGAAGGTTTGATAAGAGAATTAGCAGCTATCTAATTTCTCCCAAGTGGAAGTATCATAATAATACTCTCAAGATATAAAGTTTGAAGTACCAACTCCTAGAAAGTCAGATATACTCTTTTCCTAAGAATCAAAATGCATTCCTGCCAATGAAGGATTAAGGAAAAAAATTGTTTAAATGCATTCCAAAGTACAATACAAATTAATTTGGGATTATTTAATCAATATTTTATATTAGCTACAGTACAACGCCTCTTCGTTAGCATGGTTATTTGGGAATACATATACACACACACACACACAAGAAAAAATGTAACATTGTTCTTTAAATCCTTATCAATATCAGAAGTGACAAGGAAAAACTTTGGATAACCTGATCTCTTCAAAATACCCATCATGGTAATCCCTAAATATTTTCATGTAGAATGGCTTTGGAAGTAAGTGAGGGAATGGGTTAACAAAGTGGGAAGATAAGATGGGTAAACAATGGGCAGGAGATTAGGGCTGACAAGGGAGAAATGATCAGTCTTACCCAGAAAGCAGCAGACAAGACAGACACTACATTAGTTATGAATCTCTTAAAATCTCAAAATAAGTAGAAAACCACAGTATTCTAAACCCTGTTTCTTTTTATGATTCAGCAAAGATTAATCACAAAACAATTTTTAAGGGGGAGCAGAAAAAGAACTACAACCGTTGGAAGGCCATGTAGTTCTTAAGGATCCTTTCCACACAGTAGTAGCTCTCAACTTTCTTACTTCCTGATCTAACCATGTTTATATGAGCACTTAAGGAAAAGAAAAAAAGAAAAAGCCAGCAAGCCAACACATGGCCATGACCATACCACTAACTGGTACTTATTAGTTTTTTTCCCCTGGCATCAAAACATTCATTTTTGGAAATGGTAGAGGTTTAAGTTAAAGAGTTTGAATCTAGTTTACACCAGTCTTGACACCTACAGGCTTCATTTTTGTCACCTCCTCAGAATGTATCCTGTGGTCTCTTTAGGGGGTCAATATGGGAAACGTAAAAATCAAGGGATAATAAAAGGTGAGTTGCAATACCTAGTTGGGTTAATAATGACACAGAACCCCTGGGTCTCAACAATGAAAGGAGGAGGGAATAAGTCGCAGATGTTTAAAAACATATGGGCTTAACCTTGGCGACAGATACAGACTAAAATTTCTTAGGCTTTACTGGAGGAAAAAAGGCTAAAAATAAAGACTGGCCAAATGAAGCAATTTTGGATGTACGTTTGTTTGTTTATATATATATATGGACAGAGTCTCACTCTGTTGCCCAGGCTAGAGTGCTGTGGCATCAGCCTAGCTCACAGCAACCTCAAACTCCTGGGCTTGAGCAATCCTTCTGCCTCAGCCTCCCAAGTAGCTGGGATTACAGGCATGTACCACCATGCCCGGCTAATTTTTTCTATACATGTTTAGTTGTCTGGCTAATTTTCTTTCTATTTTTAGTAGAGATGGGGTCTCACTCTTGCTCAAGCTGGTCTCGAATTCCTGACCTGAAGCAATTCTCCTACCTCGGCCTCCCAGAGTGCTAGGATTACAGGCGTGAGCCACCATGCCCGGGCAAGTGTGGAGGTTTTAGAGGTATCTAGCTAGTGTTATCACTATTAGAAATGTGAAGTGATTCATGGTGACTCAATATGGTGAGATGAAAAATCTGATCAGGGCCGGGCAC